ATTAAGATGTTTTCAAGGACTGAGAAGAAAATGATTATGGTTTATTGTTCATCCAATAACTACAAGGGAACTTTAAGTTAACAAGGTTGTACATTGATTTTCTATAACCCAGACTATTTGAGATATTTTATCTGACTCAAACATTTAGATTTCATAGTTGAGTAGACAAGATAATTGAATAAGCTACCCAACTTATACAGGACAGAAGTATAATTTAAACAGAGGGAATAGAATAGATGTAGTGGTTGAGTAACTTAAGTTGCCAAGCCACAATAAAATACTAATTCATAGAATCACTTAGTGAGTCAATATAATACAGTGATGTAGTACTTGGGCTCTGAATCTTACTTACCTTTCCACCTATAGCTGTGTTATTCCAGACAAGCCACTGAAGCTCTGTGCTTTTATGTTCTCTGTGGAATGTGATAATAACACGCTTCATATAATTTCTTTGAGGCATGAGAAGTAGCTATTACTTTTGCCCAACATTCATCTCGCCCTTCTCATCACAAGATCTTAGTGCCCTAGCTTCTTAGTGTTCTAGCTTCTCCTCAACTTTTTACCTGTGTTAATGAGATGAAGCATGTGACTTAGCCTGGCCAGGTTATATTCACCTTCAGCTTGCTCTGTGATTGGGTAAAGGACAATGATGTCCTTTTGTTCAAAAGTGACACAATAAGAATTTTGTTGAAATTCTTTTCTACTGGACTAGAAACTAGAAGAATTTAGGGGTGAAACAGCTCAGGGCAATCTTGCTGTGAAGAGCTTGAAAAATAAAGTAGCATGGCAGGAGAACAAAACCAAGGTAGAAACCAGCGGGGATATTAGACCCTGAAATTTACAGTTTTGGAAACATCACTCCCTTTATAATTTCAGTTATTTGGACCAACAAAACCTCCACTTGGGTGGGTGGTGATTCAGCTTACATCAGTTTGGTTGGATCTTCTGACATCTGAAACAGAAAATTAATTACATGAGTTTTTAATACTAACATGATTATGTTCAGGAATTTAACACGTATATTCATGATATTCTAGATAACTAGTCTGTTGAAGTCACATAATTATCTCTTTTAATCCTTAAAAGTTTGTGAGGCAGGGCACATTAGTTATCTATAGCTGCATAACAAATTATACAATGCTTACATTTTTCTGTTTCATAGAAAGTATTTCTGTAAAACAGGAATTTGGAAATATTTTATTGATGTGGTCCAAACCTATGGTCCGTCAAAAAGTTTCAGTCAAATGTCATTTGGGACTACAGATATCCAAAGGCTTGAACAGGGTTAAAGGAAATACTTTCAGAGCCAAGAGTGAGTGATTTCATACAGCAAGACAGAAGCTCCACAACTTTTATGATTCAGTATCAGAAGTGACATGACATCACACAGTGTCATGTTGGCTATATAAACTGGCTTTATTCAAAGTAAGAGGTGATGATGGAAAGGTGTCCATACCAGGAGTTAGGGACCACTCAGGGTCCTCTTCAAGCCTGGCTAAGCACGTAGGCTCGATTACTGCCTTCATTTTATAGAAGAGTAAGTAAATTAATACGTAAAAATTAAAGTACTTTGGCCAGGGTCACATAGTGAGTATATGATGAACTGAAACTTGGGATTGGCCACTTTTATTTCAGAGCCTGCTTGCTTAATCACCATACAATGATTTTTTAGTTAACTGTATCAAAGTTTCCCATTATTACTTAATTTTAATGTATTAAGATATGAATATAAAATGTATGTAGTATTTGTCTATCACTTTAATACTGATATATGTATTTCTTTTAAAATTATAACAACTATTAATAAGACTTCAATGGGTCTTATGGGTCTTTTGAAAATAAATTTAGTGTATATTGTATTGGTAGGAGCACCATCTTAGGGTCAGCTTTCAGGGAGTAGAGCCAGGCCTACAAGAGTAAAGAAGTCCCACAGATGGCAATATGCACACACCTTACTTGCAAAGAAACAAATTGTAAGCAACATAAAAAAAAATAACACCACAAAGAGATCTTCTCTTATTTTAACATTTAATATTTCATCTTTTTTCCTCCTTTCTTCATGGTTTAAATGGCATGTCTTTCCTCATCCTTTCATATTGATTTTTTTTTTGACCAACAGTATATTTAGAAGGCATTGTCAAGTTCATAAAGAATTGAATGATTTTGTAAGTTCCTTTATGCTCTGCTGTACAGATGCCATGTTCCATATTATAGGTAAATGCATTGTGATTTATAAAGAATATAAGTTGTATCAAACAATTTCATTAAAAATTTATTTTAGTGGAATCAGTTTGGTTGATATGTTCTTCCAGATTTAGGTATCTTTTTTTTTTTTTCCAGAGAGAAATATGTGAATACCTAGTTTCAAAAAGGAAACCTTGTTATTTTTTTATTATTATTGTGGCTTTATAATTTCCTATTTGCTTGTCATCTGGCAGTTTTTCTTTTCTGCTCTAATATTCTTATACTTGTTAAATGTTACCTGCTGAAAACAAAAGGTTTTGCTTTTGTGGATATTATATGTGATATCCGCCTCCCCACCTTTACCAATGGTAACAGGCCCAGAAAAAGGGGAGGTTCCAGGTTCCCTGCCCTATCCAAGGGAGGGTAGAGCTGAGCAGAGAGAAGCTGGCAACGAGACTGAAGAGGAAGGAAGCAGGAAGGAGAGGCAGAAGGAGACCTGAGGGAGGCACATGGAGCAGAGAGACATGTAAACAAACTGCTTGCTTCTTCTTGGTCCTGGACTGAGGGAAACAGGTGTGGATGAGAGACCTGTAGGGAGGTTAACAATGGCAGGTTTAATCTGACTGTTTTTGACTCTTTTTTATGGTTTTCCACCACAAAGTGCTTTAGACTATGGCAGGCTTTTGGGCCTTGCTTTGGGCCAGTTGCTTTTGGGTGGGCTTTTTTTTTTTTTTTTAAGATTTATTTATTTATTCATATAGAGCTGGGGTACAGGCCAGAGATGCGGAGGGTGAGAGGATTCACCAGAGACAGAGTGGTGTGCAGAACAGGCAGATCGACGAAGTACACTGCTGAGGGGAGCAGCGGGCGGGCCAGGAGAGGTCTGCCTCGCCATGTGGATCTCCTCCGGAGCAGGCGGGAATTGAACTCATGCAGAAGTGGCTTAAGCTTCTTAGTGCTGTGCTTTAACCCGCTGCGCCACCAGGGAGGGCCCTTGGGTGGACTTTTACCCTTGAGGGGATGGGTATGTGCTTGATATAAAAACCTATATTCCTTGCCTTTTCTGTATTACTCATTAATTGTATTAAAGTTCCTTTCCATTGAAGTTCTTATATGTTGTCTTTGATGTGACAGATGACAGAACCTATGTAGAGTGGTCAGGTTTGGGGGTGCCCTTCTCCCTGTCCTGTAACAGTATCATATTTACTGTCCTTGAGCTAAGGTGTTCTCTTCCCCAGCAATTCTATAATTCTTTTAAATCTTTAGGATCCAACATTTCCTCTATATTTAGATGGCCATAATTTCAATTAATATTTTCTTCATCTCCGGCAACTCTCTGCTGGATTCATACATTAAATATCTCAAATATTTACTAAAACTAGTGATAATATGGAACTGTAGACTATGGCATCAACATCTTTCCCTTGAATAACAATACAATAGCAATGTTTATAGACAGAAGGAGTGAAACAGTAAATGTATGAGATGAGGCAGAAGTCTTGACCTGTGAGTTATAATTACAGATTTGCTCGTTGATGTCATGTGAATAGATATTTTCCCAGTGATTACTAGAATTAATTTTTTCTGCAATGTAACTTTTTTAAAAATTTAAAATATCTATAATTGGTTTCATCAATAGAAGAAAATATGCCTTACACCAAGACATAGTCAAAGTAATTCAGAGCAGTAAAATAATATTTTTTGAGGTACCCTTCTTGAACCTGGCAAAAACTCAATGCTCAGAGCCAAGCAGAACATAATAATGAAAAAAAAAAAAAAAAACCTTGTAAGTTTTAAGTACTTTTTTTCTTTTAATGTCCAAAAGGACTTCTACGTGTTTGCCATAAATCATATAATTTGCAATTGCTATTGTCTTTGGCTCTGACTTAACCAATAAACTACTTATTCTGCTTTCTAAAACACTCATGATAGACATGTGGCTAGTGAAATAGACCCTCTGTTTAGTGGGCTATGGTTTCTGCAGGAAGGACTATAGTATTTCTCCAGGCTATTTTAATGTCATGGTTTAAAAAGATAACTCTAGTGCTATTAAATCATAGTTTGTAGTAGAGGGAGGTAGGGAAGAGATATTAAGACCAAGGAAAACACTGCTGACCAAATTATTTTGGCTGTTTGATAGAACAGATACAGCAGATTAAAATGTGGTGATTTGCTATATACTGTGTACATAGTGCAGTCCAAGATGGCTTGACTTTCTGATTAATGAAACTGCAAAGAAAAACTGCCACCTATGTGCTTGTTTACTTTTCAAATAAGAAATACTTTAAAAACTAAAGTCTAATTATGGAACATAGTCCTCCTGTGAACATTAATAAAAGTTTGACCAAAACTAAATTATGCTTTCCGCAACCTTTTTAAAATCAAATGAAAAAACAACAAACCTCAACCAATTATAGTAACAGTGCTATGTAGGAGGTTTGCAAATATATGATACATTTTGACAGCTGTTTTTTACTGGAATCCTATCAAGACAATCACTAAAATATTTTGGAATGCTTAAAATGAGGGAATGCTAAATTTGTAACTGTCTCTCTGCCACCAGAGGCCCCAGAGTTTGACAGTGTTTTCTGGTTTGCTACAAAGCTACCATTTCTTGAAGTCAGCTACATTCTGGTAGCCAGATTCCTTACTGATTGATTCACTGCATTTATGTTGAATGTATGCTTCAAGGGTTCAGTTTTTATACCATCTGTACAAAGACATTGCCTTTCTGAAGAACTCATTCAATACAATGAATAAGTTAGATATTCAGAAATTGTCCTTATAAAATGAGTTTGATGACTAGAAAATAATAGTCTGAAACTTTCAAAACAAATGGCTGTAAAGGAAAAAAAAAATGAAAGCTTTCAGTGTTAGTTCTTTTCATTATCAAGAGTATCTTAAATAACAGTGAAGTCCGGATAATATCTTTTGATCTGTGAACCAAATGTTCTAGTGAATATTTTATAGTATAATACTAATGTGTTTAAGCTTAATTTTCCCTTTGCTGCTTTTTTAATTGTTGTGATGTGTGTGCTTTATTTACAATAAAATTAATCTGAATTTTATTTAAAGTCACCCTTTCCCTCTTTCCACTCCTGTTCTTTCTCTCTTGACTCCAACTTAGTGCCTTTGACTAAATCCAGTACAACCCAGTTGGGACCCAGATATTAGACCTATTTGGAAGCAGATGAGCCAGAATTTCCATCTGATTCACTCCTCTCCCACCATTGGCTTTTTGGACAGCACACAGACTAAGAGCAAGCTGAGGGAGCTCCAGGGAGCAATGACCACTAACAAGTAGCCGGCAGGAAATGCTCATTTTGCAGGACCATCAATTTTAGGCCCTTTTCATAGTGGATCCCTGAAGTGAGCAGTCAGAGCCTTAATACTAAGCACTATATGAGTAAAGGTCTAAAATATTTAAGTCACACACATAGACTCTGGCCCTAGTCTGACTCTACTTCATCGATGACTATATCTGCTGCCAACTTTCAATTTCCTGGTTATCAGATATACTACATCATTCCTTACCTATGTTTGTTTATATTGTTGCTTTGCTTCTGCCAGGAAAATACAGTTCCTCCCATATCATCGAAAACTCCCGTTACATCTAGTGGCTCCCAAACTTTGGTCTGTATCAAAATAATCTGGTGGGCTTGTTAAAATAGTTTCCTGATCACCTGATTCATTGGATCTGGGGTGAACCTTGGGAATTTCATGTTGAACAAATCCCTAAAGAATGCTGATACTGATAACCTAGTGATACACTTCTAGAATTACTGTTTCAAGTTTTAATTAAACATAGAACATGATGAGACAATGTAGTTTTCCCAACTCAAGTGTGAACTCTTTGCAGGCAAGGGAAGTGGTCTTATTTGTCTTTATATTTACTTTCAATACCTGACATTCAGAAAGAGGTGAATGCTGAAAAATAAAAGATTATTTACCTGTGAATTAGACAGCAACTAATTGAACTAGTTGGTATCTTGTTAGAATTATGAGTAAATCTGTTTGAAAATTTTCTCTCTTCTCTTTACTAACCATATAACTGCATAGTCTGTTGTGATCAGTTTCTTATGAGAAGTGTGAGTAGGGGGCTGGAAGGAGGAAGAGCAAGGCATAACAGATGATAAGAGGATGCATAATGGGACTCTGAAAAATGATTTTTCTGTAATGACTAGAAAGTCCTTGTTTATTAAAAGTGGTTTAGGGTCAGACAATATATTCTTGAATTTTCAAAGCTTTGTTGTTGGTTTTTTTTTTTTTTAGAATGGCTAAGTCTTTAAATTAAATGTGGTTGATGTAACATAAACATCTAGTACCTTTTATACCCTTTATCTGCTCTGCTCTGCTTGGACAATGCAAGTCCCTTGAGGGTTGCTGAAATATAGCACTTGAGTAACAATTAACATGTAATGTGAGGATATTTTTCCATCTGGAGATTTTACACATGTACACAGTAAAATACTAAAGGATTTTGATTATAGAGAATGTTAAATTCTAGGAAATATACATGAATAGTCCACTTTTGATAGAAATACACAATTGACTAGTGTTGGACATGTTTTGTGCAGTTATTTGGATATACCACTGAAACATGTTTTGTGGGCATGTTTTGTGAAGTTATTTGGATTAACCACTGAAATCCTGACAACTGGGAATAGTTTTGGAATAACTTAAGCTCCAAGAATAAGATGATTTTGCAATATATTTAGATGGGAGTTTGAGCAGTTAAAACTTTTAGAATGGATAAATGATTTCAATGAGACCTTAACCAACCCTGTTTACTTGAGATGTTATTAACTTGGGTAAAAGGGAATAATGATACAAAGTTACCTGGTGTATGAGTATTCAATGGTTTTGTTAATACTCTGATAAATTTTATAATAAGCATCCTTGTAATAGATGCTTAGTTTCTGACACTATCTCTGAATGAAAAATCAAACACTATTATTCATATATCATGTTTCAGTTGCTTAGGTATACATTTATTTTTCACATGGCTTAAAGATAAGAAAAAATATCTCTATGAGTATGAAAGATTAGCCCAAGAAAATAACTCTCCGTAGGCAAATTGAAACAAAATCCTGACTGCAAATCTAGAACTCACTAAATTTCAGCTAACTCCTCATTAGGCATTAAATCCACTAACTTGTTCATTTATTTTAAAGCTATATTACTTCTTTATTTCAGTCACCAGTTATCCAAGTATTGTGTTAGCATAAATCACTCACCTAAGAGTTAATTTGAAAAGAAAAAGAAAAAAGAAAACATACTTCCCTTACATATTCTATTTGTGATGTGTAGATAAAGTACATGCTAATATATCAATGAGTATTTTATTCCATTAATATTAATCAGATAAGGAGTAAGCTCAGATTATACAACAAATAATTTAGAGTGTACATGGCTATATTCTTTCCCCTGAAATTTAAATGATCTATGTCTTTCTTTGCCAATTCCTCTTGCTCCCTCTCACTAATTTTATGACTATGCTCAAAACTTAGCCTGCAAATTTTGTCTTTTTCCTGACTATGAATAAAATTTTAAACTGAAATTTCCAGCTGACCACTAATTTCGTTATTTTTCTAGAGAAAGGAAATATGTTATTTAACAAGTTTCCTTAATATAACAGATAAAATCCTAGTATGGTGAGACTGATAGTTTAATGAAGAGAGAGTGAAAGTAGCTTTCCTTTGCTATGTTTTCAAACCCTTTAATGTGTATGAGTTGACTTTAGAAAGAAAATGAATCTGGGAGTGAAGACCAGTGAGTGAAGTTTCCCAGGAGTTAAGTTGTGTTTTTATCTGTGCAAATGATCAATATAAACAATAGAGTCTCCCTGAAAAAAAGATGCTGAGACAATATTCCCTCACAATCTAAAATAATGAAAAATATTTGTGAAATGTATAAAATTATATTTATCAAAATGCGATCTTAGAAGCATAGCAGATGACAATGAGATTTATCAAAAATATAAACAATTTTGGCAAAAACCAGTTTACTCATTTCAGTGAGTAAATTGATGTTACTGTAACTTTATCTAGAAGTTTATATGGTCTTGTTATCACATAGAATTGTATGGGACTTATAATTCTTATCAGGTAATAATTTATTAGATAATTTTCTAGTATGAGTCACTAACTACATGTGAGAATTCAAGTGTAAAAATTAAATTAAAATTTAGCTCCTCAGTGACAGTATCAACCATTACCAAAAAATAAGAATTAATCTATGCTCACACTTTATTGATTTAGTAAAGCTCTTGTAAACATCAGGTAGAACTTTAAAGAAACATTATACCTTGGTTAATTTGGTCTGTCTTATAAGTAAGTTGAATTCTCTGGTTGAATTGTAGTAGGATTTATGCTTTTTTTTAGATTTATGTCATTTATTTATTTATGCATACAAGACCTGGGGTGTAGGCCAGAGTGGGGGATGCAGGGTCTGAGAGGTTTCACCAGAGACAGAGTGGGGAGCAGAACAGGCAGATCTACTGAAATACATTGCTGAAGGGAGCAGTGGGCAAGATAGGAATAGTCTGCTGTGCCAAGCGTGTCACCCTCCTGACCAGGAATTGAACCCTTGCTGCAGTAGCTGTGGATAGTGCTGAGAATCAGCCCCTTGTGCTACCAAGGAAGCCTAGTACTTATGCTTTTTTAATTAAATTATTTTTAAAAAAGATTTACTTATTGGCCCTCCCTGGTGGCGCAGCGGGTTAAAGCACTGCACTGAGAAGCTAAAGCCACTTCCGCATGAGTTCGATTCCCGCCT